TCAACATTGTGCATTTGCTAATGCGAAAGGCCCCCTTCCTTTTGACAAGTCTGCGCCTTACACCTGCAAGCAATTTGGCGCGCTCCAGTATAGAGAGGGAGAGACGGCAGTCGCACGGATTTCATTTCTCTCTGTGTGTGTCTCTTTCTCTCTCCCTCTCTCTCTCTCTGTGCCTTTCTCTCCTCCCTTATTCCCCCCATTCTCAGTGCACAGCAAATTTGGCTTTCAGTGCGTTATCTCTTTTGTTAATGCAAAAAAAGATTCCCCGGGCGAAAAAATTGCTCATAATTACCAGAGAGATGGGGAAACTGCATTAGAATAAATAAACCTGAAATTACTGTAATTATGTTGTGTTTGATGGGCTCGGCTTGTAATCAAGAAGAGAATACAGTGAAATGATGCTGACCCTCTTGGGTTTTGCAGCTGCACGCGCACTTTGGGGTCTTTTTTAGGAGAAAAGGAGTCATTCTGATTATCATTAAGCTGTGTGTAACCTACTGCAGAAGTGTTGGGAAATGAGAGGCAGAGGCTTCTTCCCCCCCCCCTCCCTATGCGGGAGAGAAATTACCTATTCTTAAATTGCGTTTTGTTTTTTTTACCATTGGCAGATTTATCCGGTAGGGCTGTGTTGTTTGCGAAGAGACCACGGTTGAAAAAGGCGTAGTACTCGGCATCAATTTTTAATCATTGTAATGAGGTATTGTTTCAATAGAAGCCCCTTCGGATGATTCAGAGTTTAATTAATATCCTCATTATGATGAATTTCGAATCAGATATTTGATGAACTACTTGTCAGGAATAAGGCAGAATTAATGAGCTCTGCGGCGGCGAGATTAGCATTTGCAAAACGGTACGGTTTTTATCAAGGCGCCGTAACTCCAAGCCCGCCTTCACCGGGACAAAACTAATAATTTCTCCATTTGGACGGGTTAGCTCGACTTGATTTAATTAAGGGAAGCCGAGGCGTTGGAGAGGATTCCGGGTCGAGTTTGTTTGACCGCGGGGGCCTTTTCAGGTGGCCTTTCCCCTGGCTTGGGTTCTCGTCTTGCCTCGGAGTCGATTCGAGGCCTTCCTTCCTGGAGGATGGCAATCCCGAATTGCCGCAGCCCCATCCCAGCTATTTACCTCCGGCTTTGGACACCGGAAAGCAGTCCCGCGCTTGCAAAAAGCACCCCGGACAACTCTCCTTCCTCCCCGCCAAAGGTAAACGGAAGCCGGGACTCTCCCACGGCCGGCGTCGCCTCTTCTCCGAGCGCAAGGCCCAGCCCCGACCGGCCCTGCGCTCTTGCGCCTTTTCCGCCTTGCCTGCGCTCTCCTCTCTTCGCAAGGAAGTGCATTAGCCGGAGCCCTATCATCCGATCACTCATCGCCCAGAATTGAAAAATGGGTGCGTGTCAAAACAAAAATCGATACAATTTCTCACCCGCTTCCTTCCCTCGAGCAGCCTCCTGGAAAGCCACTCCCCAGCCCCCGCCCGATCCACACCCACTTTAGCCTCTCCTCTCCTTCGGCTTCTCTCCCACCCCAAAGAAACTTGCCAGTGGATGAGCACCTCAGCCGCAAGGCAAGGGCGGCTTTCTGCAGCTCCGAACCCCCCCCTGATCGTGCCGGTTCGACCTAGCACCGGGGCCGGGAGCTCTGATCCCGGCCGAGATCTGACGAGCTTTCCCCTTCGACCCGCCCGCCCGCCCGGTAGGTCGTCGTGATCTTTGCCAGCGGGGTTCTCCCCGGGGAATTCGTTTGCTCTCGGGCTCAACCTTGAAGGCGTTTTTTTAAAAGCCTCGCTGTCTTAGCTCCAGGGACGGAAAGGCCTTTCCTCGGAGCAGAAGGGCTGTCGTCCTTTTTGGGGGTTTGTACAGAGCTGAGAACAGAGATTTCACGAGGCAGCCTTGGGAGAGACTCTGCTTGAGTTCTGAAATCTTGTTTCAGTTGGGAAAGAAGGAAGTTAGTTCTCAGTTCCCTGAAATCCCCCAAGACTCTGAAAATATAAGAGGCAAAGGTCTCGAAGTTATTCTAAACCGGTTCTCCTTAGAGTCCATTCCATCCCACAAAACCTCACTGGTAAAAAACGCAAGCAGAAAAGAAAGCCAATCCCAACTTCCAATCCCCAGGTCTTTCTCCAGAGTTCCTTATCTGCTGCCCCTCCTGTTACCCACCACAAACTCCCCTCGAGTTTATTAACAAGGTGCAGGTCCTGCCACAGAGGGGGTGGGGGGGGGCTACCGGTTGCTTTTCCCTGCCTGCCAATCCCCAGCCTTTCCAGGGACGGATTGTTTCCTTATCCTGGAGCCGCTTCCAGAGGTTGGGTGAGGTTGGAGGTTTGGGTTACTGCAGAAAAAGAGAGGAGGCACCAGGCAGTTGAGAGAGGCTGGTGAGCCAGTGCCAGGCCTCCAAAAAGCGGGAGGCACCGGGAATGAATGCCTTGGCTGCTTGCTTGACCCCAACATTCCTAGGCCGCCCAACTTTCCTTTTGCCATTTCATTTGGGATCCTGATAAATTCCCCTATCCCAACTTTTTTGTCTGTCAGCCCCTGGAGACCGTTCTTTAGACCAGCTTTCCTCCTGAAGGCCATCTGTCCCAGCTCCTGCTAACATTCCATTCCATTAGAGCTGGGGCAAAGAGGAGATATCCTCTCAGACCTATGGCTGGATCAGGATCTGTCATGAGGTCATTGTGAGTGGTTTTTCACTGGCCTGGATTCCTAGGAAGAATAAAATCCAAGCAGACCACAGTAACAGAGGACAGGCAAACCATAGTTTTATGGAAGCTAAGTTAAGGATAACAATGATAATGCTATCCTGATCAAATATTTATTATTATTGTTGTTGTTGTTGTTACCTCCTTTCCTTTAGAGCCCTCCATCACTGATGAGATCTCCTTTTCTGGGTACCAAGGACATATTCCTTCAGGCTGTCCCTTCTCACACCCACATCCAAATCCAGGCTCAGAGCGCCAGATCCAATGCCCCGAGGAGAGTCATATATGCTAGGCCATGGGGAAACGCAATCTTCAAAGACTCCAGCCCTTCTGGCTTTGGTCAGGGTTGGGAATAAGCACTGGCCCTTGCCATTGGGCATCTTTATAAATGCTTTTGCTTTGTATTTAAAAATGCTTTTGTGATGGAGTGCTTTCTGGGTAAGGGGGAGTCTTACTTTGTCCTCTTTTCCATCTCCCCCCAATAAAGCAATGCAAGGCCATTCTCATTATAAAACCAGGCTCCTAATAAATCTCAAAAAGAACAGCAAACGTCCAGGTATTTGCATGCATCGTGGGAGAGAATTTCTCCCCATGAATGGGTTGCTTCTGTTTTGCCCCCAAGCAAATTTATTGAAGATTTGGGGTTTCATTTATTTTTAAAAAATAGGGATTTTTTTAGTTATACCCAACTAAATGGGCCTGTGGAGAAAGAAGAGAAAGCAAGAGAGAAACCAGAAGCATTTGTTAAAAGCCCAAAGAACTAAACCATGCTATTCATTAGCGAAATATATTGACATCTTGAACTCGGACATGGGTGCGGGGAAGGAAGGCAAAAAAGGCTGATGCGTGAATGGAAAATGAATCAAAAAGGTTTAAAAACAGTCTAAAGAGAAATTAGTTTTTCATCTCGCCCCTTACATTGCTTTAGGAAAAGTAAGGCAATCACCAGCCGGCCTCTAAAGTGAATTATGTTGTGTTTGTTACCAACTCTTAAGGGAAGGCCATACATCTGATACAAATGCCATCCAGTTCTATAACTCCACATCAAGTAAAGTGCTTAAGATCGTAGTTTACAAGTTTCCCAGCCTTGGAAAGCGCTTGCACATGTGTTTCAAAACTACTTGTTAGCCTTTTGAGCAATAGATCAAATAACATTAAAATAAAATTATATGACATGCTTAACCACTTTAGCCACATCGGGGATTTGGTGGATCACACAACCCACTTTACACTTGGTATCATTTCAGCTGAGATCCATGCAAACGAACCCTAGAAATAAACCCGAGATCGGCTTCAAAAAGCCGTCAGACTAGGTTTTTGCAAACGTGTTTGCAGTCCGAATCCCATGGCCTTCCTTCGCTCGTGTTGTGCGCGTTTGCCCCAGAGCCAAAAACAAACAGCAGCCATAAGGAGACATTCCCTTCAAGTGTGTGCGGGGGTTAGTTTGAAACAAACGGCCTGAACACAGCATCACTTTTGCAAAACAGATCCGCCCATAAGTTTATTTTTTAAAAAATGTTTAGGACTCTCATAGTGGTAGTTTTAAGTCAATAAATAATAATAATTTAAAAAATCCCCTTTCCCATTCGACAAAAGGAAAAACAAAATGTACACCGAGAGGACTACAACGAACACGGAAAAGGAAAAGGAAGGAAGGAAGGAAATAAGGAAGGAAGGAAGGGTTGTTCCTTGGCTGAAGCCCAGAAAGGAAAGATGAGAAGGGAATGGCCAAGTGTCATTTGGACAGGACAGAAAGACGGACAGAAGAGAGAGGACCCTGCTCCCCCTCCCTTCCTCGGACAAACAGGTTCTTTGCTGCCGGCGTCCTGATGGTCCACCCAGGCCGAGGGCCGGATTCCGCGCTGCTGCGGCTGCTGGCAGGCTGTCGTCCGGCGTGGCTGGGGGACTATCTGGGGCGGCCGCGTCAGCTGTCTGCAGTGGGAACCAGCCCCGCCTGGCATCTGTGCTTGTCTCGGGAGCTGCGACCCCCCTCCCCCAAAAAAATCTTCGGCTGCCCAGAGACGCTCCGGCTGGCTCAGGCTTTCTAAAGGGGGGAACGAAGGCGGCTTCCTTCCGCGGCGCGATTTCCCCAGACCAACAAGGGGGGGCTTTGTTTTTTCTTCGCTCGTTTCGTTCGTTCGTTCGTTCGTTCGGGGGTTCCAGCCGATGGGGCGATCGGCTTATCGGTTCAACGTTGCAAAAGTAAAAATAAAAACGAAACAAAAAAAAAAAAAACACAAAAGCCAAAGCAACAACCAAAAGAAAAACAGAAACCGGAGCCGGCCAAGCCCTTGGCTCAACCTCACATCAGCTGAGGCTGCTGCATAGTCTCCTGGTGGGCCGAAGGGTACCAAGACGTGTAGCTGGGGATGTAGGTGCCCGGGGTTCCCGTGGAGCTCTTACCCGACGACGAGCTGGTGTTCCAGACGGGCGGCCCGGGCGGAGAGTTGGCCGAGAGCGACCTCCCGTTGGCCAGGGCGCTGCTTTCCAAGGCGGCTCCCCCTTGCTTCATTAGCTTCTTGAATTTGGAGCGCTTGTTCTGGAACCAGATCTTGACCTGCACTCCCCCCCCACAGTCCCAAAGAGATGAAACGTTCAGAACACGGCACACCGCAGAAGTCACAAGCCCCTTCCCTGCCCCAACCGCCCTCGGAGACCCTCATGGCTCTCCCCCCACCCATCCTCCGAGGAATCCGCTCTCGGCCCCAAGGCGCCAGGCAGCGCTATGGCTGCGACCTCGGACAGAAAGGTCGACGGAGCTGGAGGCGCATCGCTGGGAACTGAGGCGCGCTCCGAGTTTTCCTCCCCGACTTTAATGGGGGGGGGGTGTAAGCGAATCAGCTGCTGTCCCGAGACTAACCGGGTCGTTTTTAACTTTTAGCCTCTTGCCCAGCGTCCAAGGACCGGGAAAGGCCAATAACTTTATTTCCCTCCGTCCACACGTGGCTAAGAAGGGGGGGGGGTGTTGCCGCGATGCTTAAGACCTCGGGATGCGGCCAGGATAGAGAGTAACTCTGCGCCACAGACAGCGGACTCCCGTTTCTAAACCGGAAAGGGCCCAGGCCAAAGAAACGTCCCGCGTCAATGAAAAAAATCCCCAGGGTTTTTTTCTTTCGAAATTTGAGGTTTTCGACCTAGGAAAGGTTGTGGGGGGAGATACGAATGGTAGGGTAAGTGGTTTTCCTTTGGGTCGGATTTCTGGAAAGGGTTGTTGTCTGTGATTCTGGCCCGGGTTTCTCCAGGTCCTGAAAGAAATTTTCCGGAGCTTGAGAAACTCGCACCTTAAAATCTTAAATAGGCTTCCTCGGGCCCTATTTAGGGAGAGCAAAGACCCTTTGAGCCAAAGATGCCTTGGGAAGAGGAAAAGGGAAGCTCGACCAAAGGCTTCGTAGCTCAAGAACAAGAAAATCACCGCTAAAGCAAATAACATATTTTAATGTGTTTTTAGGGCGCTTTCCCAGAGTCGATAGATTCAATCCAGACATGCGATAGAGAGGAGGGAATCCTTTAGGGGAGCTTTTCTTCACCTCCACCAGACCTCCCCCTCCCCACGAAGCTCTCCGGCTCCTTCCTTGCCGAGCTCGGCTGGGAAAAGCCCGAAGCCTCCTGGGGGGGAAAGGAGAGCGTCCCATGGCCGGGGATGAAGGAAGGGAAACGGCTCCCCGCTCTGCCTACCTGAGTCTGAGTGAGGCCCAAGGAGGCGGCCAACTCGGCTCTTTCCGGCAAAGCCAGGTACTGGGTCTGTTGGAAGCGCCGGTTCAAAGCCTGGAGCTGCAAGCTGGAGTAAATCGTCCGAGGTTTCCGGATTTTTTTCCCTTTGCCGTTAAAGCGCACTTCGCCGCCTTCCACCACGGTGCTTTTCTCTGTCTCGGTCCCTGGAGAAGAAGGAAGGGACAAAAGAGGCCCGTGAGAGAGAGAGAGAGAGAGAGAAAGCTGGGCACTTGGCTAACTAGGCGGAGGTGGCGAGGATCCACCCCAGCCGCGCAGCCTCTCAGTCAGTCCAGGTCAGAGGTTCGGCTCCGGCCCCGCACCGGCCTCCAAAGGGCCCCGGGAGCAGCCGGTGTCAAGCTCCCTTCCTCCGCCCTCCAGTCAGTCATGCTTAATGAGCCCCGGAGCCCCACCGGCAGAGCCCCCCGAAGCCGGGCGGGGACAAGGCGGCCGTGGCGCAGAGGAGAAGGGGATTGTTGGCAGCCCCGGAGTTCCATCGCCCGTGGGGAAGGGGAAGAGGGGGGGGGGAGAGAATAGGAAAAGTTTTTCTATTTTTACAGGCGGCGGCACTTTAGGTTTAATTACCCTTAATTGCATACATTGTTTATAGCGCGACGCAATAAATAATTGCCGAGCCTAATAGGCGCACATCTGGGGGGGGGGGGGTGAGTTGGAAAGAGTGCAGAGGAAATGCTTTTCGGGGTTTTGCCAGCCGGGCCTGGTGTGGCTTTGTGTGCAAACTCCAGAAATCTTGGAAACTAGGCTGGTCCCTTGAGGGCAGTTGGGGCAGAATCCTGGGGGCTTGAGGGGTGGGGGAGAAGAATCTAAAGCCCCCCCACCTCAATTCAGTTTGGCTGCGTTTCTTTCTGTTTTCCGTATTTTTCAGGGAGGGGGTCCATTTAGGGTTTCTCCCCTCCCCTCCCTCTGCCCCCCTCCCTCCCCACCGACCCCCCCCTCCCCGCCCTGCC